GGCCTATTGCAAATCAAGACAACTGTGGCCTCAACAACCTTCCCAACCCTGTCTGACAGAACATCGTGTTAAACTTCCAAATTTCTCACACTGGCATGTTTGGAACAACAAAACGTAGACTGACTAAGCAGGGTCCTTTTCCTGGAAGGCAGAGGCAGTTTTCCACACCATTTTTGATTCCCTCTGACCAGTTGTCACCGTAGCCCAGGCCTAGGGTGATGAGGTGACCCGCCCACCGGGAAGGCTGAGAGGCTCTGGCCCCAGCACAGAGGGGTTGCCAAGCTTGCTGAGGGTTTGGGGGGACGCTGCCTCTGGCCCATTCCTTTTGGCTCCAGACAAATTAAAAACCTCCTTACCAGCCATTCATCGGAGGAAGCCTCTTCCTTGCTCGGCGGGGGGCGGCTGCGTTGGAGGAGATCTGGTGGGGGAGGCTGGGCCTCCCGGGGCTGGAGAGGAGGGGGGAGCCTCTAGAATAGAGAGGGGCCCTACCCGGAGATTGGCAGGCAGGGAGCGAGGGCAAAGTGCAGCCAGGTCACTGGTGAAAAAAAAGAAATCGCCAAGTAAGGGAGTGAGGGAAAGTTCCACTTCCAGCCTAATTAGGAAAGAGGCGGGGGAGCCCGGAACTGAGAGAAAAGGGAAGTGAGAGGGAGCAGAGAGTAGAAAGAGGTTCTCAGGGGGCACCGGCTACCGAGGGCACTACGGCGCCGCCTCAATCGGGATGCTGACGATTCCGAGACCTGGAAGCGCATCTGCCTGGGACTGCCAAAGAGGGAGGGCAAAATGCCCTATTAAGGGTGGGACGAATTGATTTCCCAAAGAAGCAAGGCACCATTTCCTCCCAATGCCCTCTCCAGGCCTCCTTAATCTGCCCCGGAGGCAGCAGGTGACCTCTGCACAGGCCCCCGAGGCGCCTTTGTTCGCTGGGCCTGCACCTGCGCGGCCTCCACGCGCTCTGGTCCAGCCTCCCCGGCTCGCGGGGTGCACTGGCTCATGCATGCCTTTGTACCCGGAAAGCCTCCACTCCTCGGTTCCTGCTTTCCCTGGACTTGACACAGTCGCTAATGGTTTCACACTGACAGCCGAGGAAACTTACTCCCAGGAGGAAAAAAGAATGTAGCCCGCAAACTTCATCTGAGAAGGCGAGTTTGGGACTGAGGCCACCAGGCAGGCGGGCCAGAACTTCTGCGATTCAAAGGTTGGGCTCGACCCCATGGTCCCCAGGTGCGCCCTGCTGGCTTCTAATCCCATCCCTCCGAGGCTTGCTAATTTAATTGTGTAATGGTTACACCTGAGACATTCATGCCCCTCCCTCTCTTTAGGGCATTTGTTACCTAAAAAACACAAATGAATATATTTAGACAGGGAATTAAGACATTAAAAGTTTTTAGCGTCGTAAAAACATCCTAATCAAGCAGCAGGAACAGAACCGGGAAGGAGGGGGGCGGGGGGTGGTGTCCAAGTTAGAAAAAGGCAACACGAAGTGCATCAAGTTCTTGCTAAATGAGTCTGAAATGTATATCTCGCTCTCGTAAATTAAATGTCTGGGTTTTTAAAGGGTGATTCCCCAAACATGTATTATTCACAGTAGTAGGACAGACGGTAGGCCACTGTAAGATTTATAGGAACTAAAAGACTTCCCGTGCTAAAGGTTAATGAAAGTGTAATTTGAATCATGAAATCTTTATATGTCTGCTCAATTTACACCGAAGGCTCATTTAAGATGCGTTGGAGACCAGGGGCGGCGGGTGACGTCACAACGGGTATTTTTAAATGGGCGGGGCCAGGCCGCTCTGCATGTAATCCTTTAAAAATATAAAAGCCTTCCTCTTCGCTTCTCTGTCTCTCCAGCTGTAACAACTTCACCAACTGTCTTGGTTCCACCCCGAGGATTTCACAGAGAGAACACGTTAGAGGGAATCAGGAAGCGGAGGAAAGGTCACAAATAAGCGCCTCAGGAACAATGAAAGCTTTTCTCTATGCAGCAGTAGGAGAGTTGCTAGAAAAACTGGAAAGGTATTAATCAGAAGTGGCTATAAATCCTCTGGAGTTTTGCTCTTATAAAACTCCTCAGAGAAAGTCTTGAAGGAAATGCAGGTCAAAGCCCAAAAAAGCTCTTGATCAGAGATTGCTGGAGGAAAATCTTCCCAGACGCCGTTTAATAGGCAGCAATCACCCCAGGAGTGGGGAAGCCAAGTACGCTTGAAACATGGTTGCAATTCCTAATAGGTCTTGTCACACTTAAGGCACTGCAAGCTCCATCCAACGAACAGCTGAAGCTAGCTGGCGATTCATAAAGCCAACAGTTTAAAGTTTATTATGATGAAAGCACTTAATGACAGCCATCGCTAGGGGCCCATCATTTATAAAGCTGTGCTCAGTATTAGACATGTAGCATGACCACCAATTTTATGTCACAATTGCTACCATAAAATGACCTTTGGTGATTTTTGCTGCATGTGGTGGACAGCTCTTCCTTCACATTAGTGCTCTGTGGCTTTCTTTGCAGACTATTATGCTGTCTAAAGCTTATTTGGCACTGTCGTGAGCCTCAACCCTGGTTATTACCCCAAAGGCCTGTCTAAAAAAAAAAAAAAAAAAAAAAAAAAAAACCACCTTTCATGCTCTATTGCGCCACTCCAGTAATTTACAGTTCTTACCAGGCTTGGGTCGTATAATATTTTAATACAAATATATTTTACCATTGCATTTTATTTTTTCAAGTTTCCCATACATGCTTCTGGCTACTGAGATATCCTTTTGATGGGAGTTCACTGAAATCAGTCTCTTATTTCCTGGTCAGGTCTACTGACTGGCCACTATTTACTCTAACCAGTTTTTGTTTTGTTTTTTAAAAAAGGTTAATTAAATTTGTTGAGAGGGTTTTTTTTTTTTTTTAGATCCTACATGTGATAAATTCACCCCAAGCAAAAAAGCGCCAGTTCTTATTTCCCTGCATCTAAGCCTGATGCAAATTTACATCTGAGTAACATTATTTAATTAGGCTTCCATTTGTCACCCTCCTTTGTGTAGAGAGTGTTTGAATACATGGCCACTTTACTGCTCCTATGTAAACCGCTGTTGAGAAAGTGGCCTGTCCATGCTATACCACCTTTAAGTTGTGTATATAATTTTATAAATGATATAAAATCTGCTTCTAGACACACACACACACACACACACACACAAGCACGGCACACTGCAATTTTGGAAGGATTTAAAATATGTGATTTCTGCTGGTACCTACTGTATTGGGTTTTATATAAAGCTTTTTCAATAAGGTAAATTGTTACATGACAAACTCATCTTCCACCATTATCATCTGCTGTTTGTGTTTAACAACAGGAGTCCCGCTCTAACAAAACTGTTGTAATGGCTGTACAAATTACTCAGCTGAAAGCTTTTCACCAAACAAAACAGTATTAATCAGCAGTTCTTATGAAGGTGCTAATTAAAAACAATTTTCTTCCTCAGTTTGCAATACTAAAGCCATCTTCACTTGCACAGTTCCCAATGCACAGCTACTGTATTTGCTCACACTTCAGGCCCTCCATTAACTATTGAATCTCCTATTAGCCATTTTATTACATTTATGTTCACAAGCTTGTTGACATTTTAAAAGTCACAGTATGATCTGTTTTATCTATTGAAAAATGTATTAATTGAAAAGTTAGGGAGAATAAAAAAAGGCAAAATACAGACTCCAAATGCACAGACTTCCTAAGAGGAAACACAGTGCTTTCAGCCACAGCTTGGGGAGTAGGCTTTCTGAATAAAATGGAATCTGAGAATTAAAAGTGGCATTTCAAGTTCAAGAGTTTGTTAGACACCAATAGGCTGGGATCCTTCATAATTTGGAAATAGTCTACTCAGGAAAACATATTTGCCCTGCCTAAGGTCAGTCTGACTTTTAAACCATCTTTCCTCTGTGAGATATATTCAGTGTAATTATGATGTTTTTGCAGTCTAAAGACAGGAGAGGTTGATCTGGGGTATAGAGTATCTGGAGCTCAGATTGTTGGGGGGCGGGGAGCAGCTTAACCTTCCAGTGAGTGTGGTACATATTCATGTCTATGTCTAATTTGCCTCACCATATAGACATCTTGCCCTCCCCACCAGAGTCCAGTGAAAGGGTCTTGCCAGACAATGCTCCCCGATTGTTTGGCATAGATTGGAACCAAGTCAAATGCTGACTAAGCACAAACACAAAAATCTATGGAGGCTGGGTTGAGGGAAGGAGACCATCATATTAGAACAAAAACAAAAATAACACCCACCCCTTAAGAAAAGGTGTGCCCCACTTTGCAAGTCGGGAGAAGGGAAACAAAATCACCTCCTGCCTCTGGCATTAAAGCCATGTTCTTCACTGTCAAAAGCAGTTAACTAGTTTAGGACAGACACCTGGTTGTTGGAATAGGCTCCAGAGGACCACTAATCCTTCTTTTCACTCAGTTAACTGCTGGATCCCCAAATTGATTCAACAGGTATGCAGTGGTAAATTCAGCCCATACTGAAGCCAAAGGGAAAATCAGCAAGGGGCGGGCAGCTCTTCTCTGAAAATACCCGAGGAACCAGCCAGAAAAGCTTTTATGGCCCCGACAAGTTTTCTGCTGAATACTGAGCACCTAAATTACCCTTCCCTAATGGAAGTTACATTTTCATGCTCAGTCAAAAAGCCAACAAAATACACAATTTATACAAAATAGCATCAACCTCTCAGGTAGTCTTTTGGAGCACTTTTATCCCAATTCACAGCATATGTCTTGCTATAAAATAAAATATATTTCTCATAACTAACTTGTATTCAGCTGTTCACATCACTGCTTTACGACTGCCCACGGGCAATATTAGATACATTCTTACACCCAGCCACAGCCACTTAATTCAACAAAGGAAAATTCTGAATTTTAGCAGAAGAAAAAAAAATCTATAAAAAAGAATATAATTCTTTCAGACTTTTTTTTTACATTTATTCATTTTATTTTATTTTCTATGTGTGTTACCATGGCATACATGTAGAGGTTGAAGGATAATTTTCAGAAGTTGGTTCTCTCCACCATGTGAGTCCTGGGGTTGAAATCAGGTTGTCAGGCCTGACAATAAATGTCTTTACCTGGTGAGTTAACTCACCTGCCCAGAATATCATAATTCTTGTGATTTCCCAGGTAGGCAGGCTTCTCATGGAACATACATGCACATAATTACATAGACAGTTGTAGAATGGGACACTTCCATTGCAATTCTATAACCCAATACTGATGCATAGAAATAATCATAAAGTTCAGAAAGAAATGTAAGTGGAAAAGCCTTTTAGGGATCCCATTTTTCCCTTCTTAATATCTGCATTCTATTAAAGTGTGAAAATTAATAAAAATTTTCCAGTTTATTTAATAATATAGCATTAGTTTTGTATAAACTTTGAAAGAACCTAGAGTAGAGATAGTTCCAAGTGAAGACAAGATAGAACACATCTATGAAACCCTTAATAGGTGATAGGATAGTCTATAGCTCTTAATTACACCTTGATAAACATATTTCTTTACTAGGTATATCTTACTAGGAATAGTTCAATTCTGATACACGGTTCTCAGCTATTTCTAAAAACCACACTACTAGTTTACTTTTAAAAATGCAACTTCTCCCAGAGAAATAAGCACTGCATCTGTGTATCTACAACACACAAATGCAAATTGAATTTCTGCTAGTTCATGTATTTTCATGATTGAAAAGAAAGGAAATATTCTCATGGCCCTGCTGTTCTTTATTTAAAAAGGGGGGAAAAAAAAAAAAGATTTTCTTAGGTGTGAGCATAGAGATAGGCTTTCTTTGTCTGGCAGAGTTAGTTGCAGGTTTTACAGAAGAAATAATTTTTGCTGTATTTTTATAGGTATGAATGGAATGACTTGTGTTGCCTTTTAAAACATCCCAAATTCTAATTTTTTAAACAAGAAAATATGAAGCCAGTGTGCAACCCATACAGTCGCCAAAGGAGAGCTGCCACTAGCTGAACCACTCAGCTAAATGGCTGGTTTGCATTGCCCTGGTCTTTATCTAGCACTGAGAATAGACTGCTGTTTTATCCAAAGAGGAATAAATTGCTGTTATTGTGATGTTAGCCCATCACTTGGCATTGCAATTCAAGTTTTTGTGAGAAAGAAATGTATGATCTAACTGCGACTTGACCTATGCCTTCTGAGCTCCGTCTAGGTGCTCTAATGGAGCAGAAAGTAGTGAATGCAAGGACATGTAAACTGATGGTAAAAAAATTTGTTTGATGATAGAAGTGCGCAGAGAGGACATTTGAGACTCTGTTTTCATGACAGCTAAGTTTGCTTAACATGCAAAAGGATGCGCCCCCAGGCTCCCCGCCTATCACTTTAATTGTATCACACTGAATATAGACTTTGCCTCTGCTAAAGATATGAGGGTATACAGTTAACCTGCCTAATGATATTCCCACCAAAGTGGGCACAGATGATTCCTTGCAGATAAATATCTGAATTTCCACAAAAGGCATTAGAACACTTTCTGGACACATCAGGCAAGAGGGGCTGCGGTCCCTGCAGAAAAGCCCTTCTCTCATCATCCTGGGTAGCACCTATTAAATGTTTACCATACCCTCAAATCTCAGTACCTAACAATATATACTTATTTTAAATAAGATAATTGTGTGATTGAGTTTTTTTTTTTTAAACTCACCCTGGTTGCAATCTAGTTTATCCACCATTTACTCAAAATTTCTCTAGAATAGACCTATTTTGAAAGAGGCCTAGAGAGAACAACGGCAGTTAGATTTAAGCCCTGATAAAGGCTCACTTTTCATTCATAGTCAGAGCCTAAATGTGCTCTTCTTGTACCTAAACAGATAATAAGCACTCAGCACACTCCCCCTCCTTGACACAGCACACTGAGACTAATCACACATAATTGGAGAGGAGGAGCAGAGGGCTGGCCACGCTATTGTGTCCAGAGGACAAACGGTCAGTTTATGAGGCTTTGGGCTGATGTAGTCATTTCTTATACATCTATAGGGGGAAAAAACCATCCTGTTTAAAAAGAAAAATAATGAGAAAGAGAAAGACAGAGACAGAGAGACAGAGCAAGAGATAATAGATTGAGACAATTAATTGGGAGATTAGAAAGATGTGATTTATTATTTAATCAGAAAAGAAGGATAAACTTTGCTGTGTTTACAGGTAGAGACTGCCATTACCCAAACAAAGCAAAGACTGTTTAAAAAGGCAGGTAAACCATCAAAAGAAATTCTGCCTTAGAGGAAAAATATTTAGGTTGCTCACAAGTCAAATTCAAATCTCAGACTGCTTACACATAAAGACACAAGGTTTGGTACAGAAGAGCAACAAGCGACTGTAGGAGAGGTAAGGGAGCTAGTGACGATGGCTCAGAAATAATGTGGGTGATGGTGGCTGGAGGCCCAGAACAAAGATGTGGAATGTGGAAAAGTGGGTAGAGGCTTAAGGCCCTGGAGCCCCAAGATCTCAG